ATTCTCCTCGAGTTGTCCATCCCTTCTTCCACAGGTGGTAGATTCTCTTTTTTTCCTAGAGCCTCAGGAAAAGCTCCTTGTTCATCTACGCCAGTCTTCTTCCCTGCCAGCTCATCTTGTGACACAGGGGGATAGCCTGCTCTCACTTCCTTCTTGAGGAGCAACCAACCTTCGTGGAGCCCTTTTTACCTTCAGGACTGAATCCCAAGGGACCCTCTCAACCAGTGTACTGAACAGCTTTAGAAAATGTGGAAGACAGCTAAGCATAGGAAGAAGCTTGCCAACACTGCTCTCTGCTTCTGACAGTATGGCGAGGAGGGAACTTTTCCACATGGATGAACTCCTCTTTCACTATGTCTTTAATGTGCAGGCATAGAAATGTCTTCAAGATCATGATGCTGTCTTTTAATGCCTCTTCTATCCAACCGTACCTCAGCATGAGTATCTGTTTCGGGCTTGCTGTATCCCAAGGCTAATTTTTGTTCCCTGCTTCTGTTTGTTTCTGCTATAGCAGCCTCCAAGACTGCTGCAGAGCCAAGGAATGACTGGCTGTTTTCACAGCCTCAAATTTTGGCTTGAAAGAAAGTAGTTCATCATTGGCACGAGCAGTCTTTAACTCACTTGCTACAGGAATGCTGCTGTGTGCCCGATCTCTGATATCAATTGTAGCAGTGGGCACAGAATATAACCCTTTCCTTCCAGCCTTATCCATCTAGATGAGGATAAATCAGTATGTACAAATGCAAAACATAATTCAAGGGATGAATATCCACTCTCACACACTGTTAAGATTTTTTATTATTTTTTTTACTGTAGAAACTGGGAAATTATATCCCCCTCTTAGTTTCCTTATGTCAGCTTTCCAACATTAGGTTTTAAAGCTTTTTGCTAAAGTTAAAAATGTTCTCCTACCATAAATCCTGTGTCAGCCTCAAAAATACCGACTATTTTTCACTCGCTGAGTTGAGCCTCGTTCATGAAGATTGCTTCTGGAACAATGTGACAGATTATGAGTTCTAGCAGGGAAGCCTAAAATAAATCCTAATTGAAGTGCAATAGAGTATGACTCTTTTGAAAAAGAAGGAATAGAGAGAGGCCAAGGTTATTCAATTAAGGCTCCTTCAAGCTTTTTTCGCACTGAGAAGCATAGCTTTGTAAAAAAAAAAAAAAAAAAACAGTCCCTTGACAAAGTTCAAATGTCATTCTCTTTCTGAAAGAGCATGCAAGTGAAAACTGATTATCGCCAAATTGACATTAATAGGGCAGAATTTAGAGAATTAAAGGCTGGAAGGATCATCTCATGAAAGACTAATGGAGTTAAATATCATAGCTAAACATTTACCAAAGGGAGCATAACAATCTACAATCTAGGAAGGAAATGTTTACTGAAGAAATAAGAGGATTGGCTCATGCACATGGATACACACAAATAGTAATGAGAGCTCTGTGGACAGTAGGCTCTCTCTTTTCATCATGAATTGAGATCTCAACATTTGTTTTAATTTACAAGGGCACATTTTCAGCTTCAAATGTTTTATTTTCAGCATGTTCTTAATTTTCAAAACAAGAAGAATTGCTCTGAAAGATGGATGGAAATGTGTCATTCTGAAGAAATCAGTCATCAGCTCTGTTTGAATCTTTTACCCTTTGTCCTGCAAGATGTTTAAGTCAGAGCAGTGTGAGCCCTCCATTTTGCAGGGCCTGCATGTTTTGCTAGAAGACTTCTGTGATAAAATGCTAATATTAACTAATGCAAGGACTTCAGCTGAATTTTGCAGTTAGTGGTCAACATATATGCAGGCATTCTTCACTTTGGAAGCCATTCTTAAAGAAAATGACAGAAATATAATTTTGTAGAATCGAATTGTGCACTGGACAAGACACAGAAAACCCAAACCATGTTGCACTGAGATACATTCTAGATTTTGAAGCTATCTTTAGTTTTCACAGTCTGGTGAAGAACAAAAATGTGCTACTGATTTGTAGCCCTAAAATCTCAAGTAAATGTAGGGCAGCTCAGGAGATTTTTCAGGGCTATCTCACCGCTGTGCCATAATCATTTTTTTGACAGTATCATAGAATCATAGAATGGCCTGGGTTGAAAAGGACCACAATGATCATCTACTTTCAACCCCCCTGCTATGTGCAGGGTCACCAACCACCAGACCAGGCTGCCCAGAGCCACATCCAGCCTGGCCTTGAATGCCTCCAGGGATGGGGCATCCACAACCTCCTTGGGCAACCTGTTCCAGTGCATCACCACCCTCTGTGTGGTGCCTTATGCTGACATCAGTACAGACTGAAGAAATGCTGATACACAGATGTCACTATCAGGACTACACCTGTGTTGCAGCCACTGCTAAGCACATGGTTACACAAGCTGGGATGTTTCAGTGGTGGGATGACTGAACCTGGGTTCCAGACTAATTGAGGGAACTGAAGAAAGTCTGAGTATCAGATGTGGCGAGAAATGTCCACATCTATCCACAGGAGCTTCTCTAATTCACTTTTTACTCTGTTTACCTTTCAAGTTCTGAAAGATTTCTACAGGGATGATGTAGAACAGAAAGCAGAGATTCAGAAAAAGAAGTGGTCTGGATAACCCTGTTTCATTTAATACCAATTTCATGAAGCGCCTATTAGAAGGACCTATTAAAACCTACTAGAAGATTTGAGCTACCTGCCATAATTTTGGTTTTAGAACTGACATTTTTTGACATTCATGCATGTGCAGGAAAGCCAAGCTCATAGCTTTCAAACAAAGAAAGCCCAAGCAGCACAGAAATGTTTTGCTTCACCAGTGCATGCACTTGAATATTCCTTTAGGACAGAGCTCAAAGAGAAATGTGAAGATACTTACATCACATAGATAGGGCTTTCTATTGCTGTCACTGATTAAATCAGTTGAAACTGAAACACTGGGCCAAAATTATGAATCACTGTCTAAAAACATTACATCACGTAAAAGAAAGTGAAATTATACATCTTGAAATACAAACACTGCTTTTAGCTCCCCTTATAAAATGCTCTGTTGTATGGGCAGGCACACCCCACATTTTCAAGTCTCAACCCATTTCGGATGTTTAGATGAAAAACAATCATGGTTATAAGTCGTGAACCACATTTGACCAAGAACAGAGGAAACGATCTCTTGGATAAAATTAATTGTGAAAATGAACTCCTGTAGTGTAGTGGCATATTGATTTTGTCTCAGATCCCTTTTCTCTTTCAGGAATCAAATGGAAATCCATCTCGTGCCCTTGCTCCCATGACTGTCAGAATCCAGGTTGCCCTGGAGACACAACGTCAGATTTGCAGAAGCAGAGCAGAGGCATCGGCCATGCGGCCCTCCAGGGACTGTGCTGCTGAAATTCTTCTGTGGGCCTCCTTTGACCCTCATGAGCTTGCAGACAAAGAGAGGCAGCAAAGTATTTGTAACACGAGATGCTACTATAAATTAAACACTTACTAATGACAAATCAGAAGGATAAATTTAAAAAGCTAGCTTCCTATTTCTCTGCATGCCTGTGGGAAAGCTAGTAATGTTTTTTAGCAGCACGGCCACAGGCACTGTGTATTTAATGCAAGAAAAGCAGCAAAAGCTCTTGTTCTTGTGAGAACGTGATACCAGATAGCAATTAGTAGCATCCCGGATACAAGAATATACACAGTTGAGACAGTCCTTAAATCCACATACATTTCTAAATGAGCCATTCATCTGGAAACACTGGGTAGTATCTGCTGGAAACAGAAAGTAGAACAAGTCTGCCTCACAGGATGAGCTTGCATCCATTCGCAGAGGGATGCAAATCCCTCAGCAGGTCAATACATTATTTCCTCTGTCACATATAGGATTTGCTGTTCCTGCCACTGCACTGTCCTGTTGAATTACTGAACAAGAGGCTGCAGCTCAGAGAGGACGTAGGCTCTCTGAGAACAAAAGCCTGGTGCACATGACATGTGTGCTCATATACACACGCTGAGCCGCGGGACAAATGAGCGCAGCGCAGCTCCCTCTTTGCATCACCCAACAGCAAATTGAGCATGGAGTGGAAATGAGGACGGCAGTGAGGGAATCCAGGAATACTGACTTGTTTGTTGTGTAGGGTAGGCATTAGGAGCTCCTGCAGAAACCTGGAAAATGGGAATGGGTTAGAGAAAAAAAAGTTTCACGCTGATGCTAGAATTTAAAAAATGGCATATGCATACAATGGAAAGGAACAATTTTTTGTGCTGCTCTGCAGAGAATGGACCTATAGTCCCTGCGGGGGGATTGTGAGTGGTGCTGCACAGAAAGACAGCAATGGGCATGAGTTAGGCATGAGGAAAAGAAGGAGGGAAGCAAAAAAAGATAGCTTTAGAAACCATGTTACAGTTGGGAAAGAGACACCAGAACCGCGGTGGTGCTGCATCACCATTTTTCAGAAATAAAAAATAAAACCTTTCTCAAACGCATCTCATCCACTCCATTTTGATATATAAATGCAATTAAAGAGACCCATGTTCAGCACTGACAGTAGCAAAAAATGTTAACTGCACAGTAATATTTACCCAAACCAATATTCATTGTGATCCTGTATTTGCGCTCTCCTCAGGGCAAACCACAATCATAATTAATAATGCTATTTAATAACTTAATAATGGGGCAGAGGCAGCTAATATATTCATGGGTGAGGTTAATGAATGAGATCAGGTCAATAGGAAGGCACAGACAAACAGTTCATGAAGTTTTTTACCAGCTTCCCCAGCAGCAGTGAATCAGGTATGATTTGCTTGAGACCTGTAGTGAGCAGCAGTAATAAAAATGAGTAAATAAAAATCCTTCTATACAGATGTAGAATAATGTTTCTGCTTTTTATCATGACCTCGCTTTAAGCTTTATTATTATTATTTTTTAATCAGAAATAAATGTGTTATTTTTGGCCGTGACTCTGCATGATATACAACTCAACCTGTTTGGAAATTCAGTATTATTATTATTATTTATTGGAGTTCTCCACCTCAGTGATCTATATACAAAAGCCTGCTTCCTGTCTTGACAGGTTTACAGTGTAGGTTAATTTAGTGCAAAAGAACTAATTAACAAAGACTGTGCAATCAATTTGCCTTCTAAAAGGTAAAGCCTGTGGTGTTTCTTCTCATTCTCACACTCTGCCCAGCTTGCATAGTCCTACCGTGACCTGTAAATGGTATTTTTCTAAACAGAAAAAGTCTTTGCTGTTGTTCTCAAGCAAGTAGCAACAAGCCAGGGCTTACCATCACTATCAAGTTACTGTTACTTACTGTGCTGTTTGAGCATTTGAACTGTGGTAACTAGCATGGCCTCAAGGTCTTTTTACTCACTACAAAGCAAAATGCATTAGTGGAAAACCATCTTGGAGGTGAGCTGGGCTAACAGCAGACACGTGGCTACCTGTAATATGCTTCAGCAGCTGAGCTTGTAAGCTGAGTAACTCCACTGCTTTTGATTGCATGCTCTCAACCCACCTGGGAAGAAGATTAGGAGAAGGAAGCTGACAAGCTCTGTCAGAGCTGTAGGTGCAGGGACTGAATGAAAGCAGCATGGTGCTGCTGCCTCCGTACTTGAAACAGCAGAAGGGAAGATGTCTGCATCACTCCCCTGCTAACATCAATCAGTGCCCATAAAGTGGTTCACACTGAGATACTGGGGCACAGGGGCAGAACTGAAAGGTGAAAGCAGGTTGCTATTCTTTAACCCAGTGCATCAAGTCTGTAAGTGTACTTACATCATTCTATACTTGGAATAAGTTGATAATAGATATATATACATATATATACAGACACACAATACATATACATGCCATGCACAATTAGCTGCCATGCATTAACATGCTTGGTAGCATTAAGCCGCAGAGTGTTGTCCCTCCTGGATCTTGAACATCCAGTCTGACCCCAGCTGTGAACATCACCACAGTGAATTTACAGGAACCAAGAATGATGAAAATCATGGTGAGGTTTTTATGAGGTGACTGGATCTTTATTCTGAAGAACTGTGGTATTATAGTAGAAGGGGGATAATATTTCTAATAAAGTAGGAGAGTTGGAGGAAATATTTTTAGAATATAGTTACAGTCAGAAGGCAATATACTCAGTACCAAGTCTTTCTCTGACAAGGGCCATTCAGAAGTAAAATAAAACCTTTTAAAATATCTGTTCTCGCAGAGGACAAGGACACTTTTAATTTGGTCAGTTCGGAATCACAGCCCAACAAAATGAAAAATAGATTTCTCTTCAAGCACCTATATCGGAATAACATGGCAGATGACGACACAGGCAAAAGTGCTCTACAGTGCTTTGCAAAATTCTGTTCGAAAACCCAAATACACACAGCAGCCAAGGATGGAAGAGCAAAATGAGCGAGCACTGACCTCTAGTGGACAAAACACCACCGAACTTGAAGAGAATGGGAAATCTCAGTGTCCGCATGTCAAAAACTATCACACAGAACCACAGTATTAGAGAATGGTTTGGGTTGGAAAGGATCTTAAAGCCCATCCAGTTCCAACCCGACTGCCATGAGCAGGGAGACCACCAGCTGCATCAGGTTGTTCAAAGCCCTGTGCAACCTGGTCTTTTGACATCTGTTGCAATATCTAGAGGCCAATTTTCTATGGCCATAAGAAAACAGTGCACACTTTGAATTTATTAGGAACATAAGCATGTCAGTTGCTGGTCAGTAAAATTAACTGAGGCTATATTCTCTCTCATTTTTTTAATATTTATTAAATAACTTGGCACTACGGAACTATCTAAGTGAACATTAGCAGAGCACAACTGATTTAAAGAAAAAATCTTCAGAAACATGAACATACATGTTATCTTATCTAGCTTATATTAAGTCTTAGTCCTATTTCTTTGCAATTAAAAGGTGTTCAAGTGAATAACATGAAATTGTTATTCATTTGGAACACAATAAATGAAACACTGGTATGTTTGCAATATCTTTCCCAAGGGATCTTGCTTCTGTCCTACCTTCAAGTTACTTTCTTTAAGTACCTTGGAGCACTTCCTTAAATTAATCCAAACAAAAACAATCTCAGGCACATAATTTCATAACGTGAACCTTTTCCTGAAATTACTACAGTGGGGTGTAACCCAAAGAGTTAGTACAGGTTTCCTTTTCTTCATTAGTAATGTCAACCTTAAATTCATTCAGAAGCTAATTAAGACTTTGGTGGCTTTTTTGTGTGTGTTTTTACTACCTTAAGATAGTGAGGTTTATGGGAAATATTTGGTCAAGAAGGCAAGATAATAGGGACTTGCATCTGGCTGGGAAAGTGCACCTGGCATTACAGAAGTGCTTCATTACTGTTGTGGATTGTCCTTGTTTCCTTTGGAACCTGTCTCTCTCAAGAATTATTGGCTCCATACACAAGGCAGCTCTTCTTTCCTCCGAATGGCAGGGAAAGGAAGAAACAGGAGAATCTCAAGTCCTTTGTACTTTCCATTGCAAGTTCGTGAAACAAAGAAGGAAGAAATTCTGTGAGGAGAGCACGATGACAGGCAACCAGACTTACTGTCTAAGTAATACTTCATATTATGGGATACTATGTCAGTCTTTGATTGATATGAAACCAATCTGTGTACCGAAGTTAGTGCCATCACGAAAGTGGGAATAAAATTTGTCAGGGTGGCATGCAGTACAGAAAGTGATGTTTTGGTTCTGGTCTGTGACAGAATCATCTTGGATGTTCTCAGGAAGAATCCCACCACTCTCCAGAAGAATCCTTCAAAAAAGACAAACAG